TGGGGTACGTTATTTGATTTGCTTGGGACCAATAGGCTAGTCAAGTAGTGAGCCAATTTAAAATCGTTAGTTTCGAATTGATTGTTGGCTTAGGTCAGTAGTCTAGCTCCTACTTTAGGATCCAAGGGTTCTGTGTTCGAACTGATAGAGGGAAGATTTTTTTTTAAAAGCAATGATTTCATCATAGAAGTATGAAGAAGGATTAAGTTGCTACTGATTATATATGATTGGTTGATTATTTGCAAGCGAGCGTAGGCGGATGTAACACCTGACTATGTCCGTCTCCTCTACAATATCTCACGAGGGTGGAATAAGGAAGAACATAATGATGCCAGTAAAAGAAGCAACTAATCATTTTTTAATCGAATCTAGCAGCTGGTCTAGCTGAACTTATTTATCAGCCAAGGAATGCATGCACCAGTTGCGTGAGCTCCGATGATTCATCATTGCAGAATATACAAGCAGCAATCTGCTCAAAGCTACCCACGCAAATGTTATTCTGCAAAATCTGGACGCTACTATTTGTTGCACACGATCTTAGTGAAGGTCCTGATAAGCGGGATCTGGTTGTGTATGAGAATTGGTAATGTATCATGTAACTGCGTATTGTTCCTGTAGAAAAACCTTTGCAAGCATGCATTACAATCAACAAACTTTTCAACGTCTATGATTGCTAAGTGTATAAAAAGTTCACGCAGTATTCGCTCCATACAATACCAAACCATATTCTGTACTAGCTAGTGAAAAAAAAAAATGAATTGAGTCAAGGCGATTGGTAACACAGTTAGGCGATGAAAACGATGATTTTGTGTGTAATTATTTTTCCTCCGGATTTTTTCTTCATTGATCTCAATGAGGACACAAAGGACTTTCCGAAAATACATGACAAAACGTTCGTTTGGAATTTGGTTTGGCGGTGCTCAAGTATCAAGGCGCCAACTTTGACTGTTGTAGAGATCGGAAAATGATAATCGAAAGATACCCGAAAATCTAGTACAAAGTCCAGTTGAATTTTTCATATTCTTTGTTCTCACAAACTACACAATAAATCCTTTGATAATACATCCCAAAATGTTGGCTTAGGATCTGACAAAGAGGGTCAGAAAGTACCAAAGCGCTAACTTTAACTGTCATGCACCTGTGGAACCTTACCGGGAAAGTTTACTAGAATTTTTCCTGGATGATGGATCATTCTCATCATCCGTGAGCAAATCAAATTGATTGCTCAAATTAATTTCATCAGAAGGGGGATCAAGAGTTTGCCCTTTACTTTTGTGCTTAGGCACCATGGAGGCAGTAAGTTTTTTTTTATCCAAATCGACTTCCAAGCAGATTACTATAAGAATCTGAAGGATCTGAGAGGAATTTTTCAAATCGATATCCAAGAAGAATTACCTCGGGTAGGGTCCAAACAACGATCGAAGAGGAATAAGAGTCAACCAAGGCAGAACATTTGCATGTATATTGAGCGCTGAAAAGTGCTGTTTAAATTTGTTGTACCTTTAGCACTTCCTTCAGTAAAAAGCAAATATATCCGCACGGCAGAAGAACACGATGCGGACTGTGCTGTAATATTAATGATTTTTCACTTCGGTTCACCCACGGGAAATATTCTCCACTTCGAACGAGGATATATCCCCCTTTTTTCATGCGATCGTATAAGGATAGAACAGAACAATGGAACTTCGGATCCAAAAGTGTTTCCATACTATTTCTGTGAACACTAGCGAACCTAGCGGAAAAATGCAAGCTTTGCCTGCACTTTATATGGGCAGCATGGTTTGATGGTGTGAGCATCCATAGAAAACCCGTGTGAAGTATAGTCGCTATATTTATAGTCTGGCGGATAGAATTTCGATCTATCAAAAAGCGGAACCAATTCAATTTATTGTAGACCAACAATTGAAAAAGTACTATCAACTTTAATAAACAAAGTGTTGATTATTCTTGCCTCGCCAATTGAAGGCAAATTACCCGCATCATCGGATAGAGGAAACTTTCCCCAGCTCAAAGATGGTGTTAGTTTGCGAAGCGTGCCTGCGTTCTGCAATAGCAAGTTTTGTTCGCAATAGCTGATGTGCTCTTTTCTGTTGTTGGTCGTGATTTGCTCGATTGGTTCCGCTATTTGACAGCTCAATTGGTTCCCGAGATTCTATCCGCCAGACTATTAATATAGCGACTATAGTGTGAAGCGCAAAAATGCTCTCCCACTTTTTGATAGAATGATTCGTTCTCACTTCCACTGCTGTTCTGTGGTATAAGCTTAAATAAATATTGAATACAAAAATTTTGCAATTTAAGAGAGTAGCCATTCACATTTCAAACGATATAATCAAGATAGTTAGTTTTGTTGCAGTGCAGTCGAATATTGATTCCCTGGGGAGAACTTCCCTAGCAGCCACTGAACCATTGTGGTTACTTGTTTGTAACTTATTCCAGTCAAAATCAAGTTGCAGCAAACTTATTGCGATGGAAGTGTGCTACTTGATTTGGTTCAAACTTCTACAGTAACGAATATATTTACGTGATTGTTCCGTTAATTTTAGAGCATATGGTGAAAATATTCTTATTTTTGACGTAGGATTACGTCTGTGATTTCTATATGGGGGTACACTTTGTGAAAACCGAAAATGGTACATGTAACAAAATTATGAAAGATTTTGAACGCTAATAACTCAGCTGCCCCTGAACCAATTTCAATAATTTTATCACCAATCGGTCAAATATATTTCTATGCATCGTTAAATCTACAAGTTTATCATTTTTCAAATTGTCACTATTGAAAATTGCACGGATGTGCAACTTTTGCTATGATAATTAAAATTATCACCAATTGCCAGCGAAAAGCGATTTCCCTAACACAGATTTCAATGTTGGTCTCACCAAACGGTGTTTATTCAACCACCTCGTAGTGAGTGGTGGCGTTCTCCAGTACACAACGAAAGGAGGAAGAAGCCGCACCCCTATTTATCGGAATCAGTAGCTCTTTGTGAGTTGCTGTGGGCCATCTATGTCAAGCGCGTCATACTAAAGAGTATAAGCACTAATTCCTATTGCTACACAAAACACAAGTTCCTGCTGCAGTTAACAAATAAGATTTATTATATAAGACCACGTAGTCCTACGTCATCATTGCGTACAACCCCATAGGGCTATCCCTTGTAGTTTTTTTTAGGAGGGAGTATCATACCTGCGATAATTTTGTTCAAAAGCTTCAAAACAAAGTCTATGTAAGAACGCATAAAATGAATATTTACATCCATTCTTCTCAAAAAAGCAGAAGTACTCCTAGTTATTCCATTTTTTTTTTCCTGCCTTCATCCGTATGCCCAAGTGATTCCAAAGACTTTCCAATGTGTTTTGACGGTATTGGGATCAAGAAGCAGTGTTAGATTTTTAATAATATCCTGTCAATTTGCTATTCTTTATCAAATCTAATCGAAAAATCAATAAGTTTAGAAGTCATCTTTGATAGAAAATCCAAGTGTTTAATCAAACCCGCTCAAAAAAAGAAAGGTAAAGTGCAGGTTGAGCTTAGTATGACGGAAATTCGATCTTAACCCCACGTGACAGAGCGCAAACACCGTTGTGGGTTTTCGTCATGTCTCGCTTTACCAGTTGACTAATAAAGGGTGATACGGTCAAAATTTGGTCAAGGGAAAACGCGTGTAAATCGGTGAAATCGTTTATTTAAAAAATCAAATTAAATTTCTTTTTCAAGTTCAATTAGTATAAAATTCAAGAAAAATATTCAGTTAGGCTTCCGCTTTTCCAAATCCGAATTGCTGGGCCTTACGCTTGACCCCTGCCATCAGATTTTGTACAGCCACCTTGTCCACCTTCTTCGCCGCAGAAAGCCAGTTTGCCTTGAACTGCTGCTCGCCCTTAGCAGTTTTTTTGGTCTTCTTTAGGTTCCGCTTGACAATAGCCCAGTATTTCTCAATTGGGCGGAGCTCTGGCGTGTTGGGAGGGTTCTTGTCCTTGGGAACCACCTGCACGTTGTTGGCGGCGTACCACTCCATGGCCTTTTTACCGTAATGGCAAGATGCCAAATCCGGCCAAAACAGTACGGAACAACCGTGTTTCTTCAGGAAAGGCAGCAGACGTTTATTCAAACACTCTTTCACGTAAATTTCTTGGTTGACAGTCCCGGAAGCTATGAAAATGCTGCTTTTCAAGCCACAGGTACAGATGGCTTGCCAAACCAGATATTTCTTTGCGAACTTTGACAGTTTCATGTGCTTGAAAACATCTGCTACCTTTCCCTTTCCTTTTGCCGTATAAAACTCCTGTCCCGGAAGCTGCTTGTAGTCGGCTTTGACGTAGGTTTCGTCGTCCATTACCACGCAGTCAAACTTCGTCAGCATCGTCGTGTACAGCCTCCGGGATCGCGCTTTGGCCGTCGTATTTTGTTTATCATCGCGATTTGGAGTCACTACCTTCTTGTAAGTCGATAGTCCGGCTCGTTTTTTGGCTCGATGCACGGTTGTAGACGATGCACCCAGCTTATTTGCGGCATCTCGGAGAGAGAGGTTAGGGTTTCGCTTGAAACTACCGGCAACTCTCTTTGTCGTCTCAGCGGCTTCCGGTTTTCGATTTCCCCCCGATCCAGACTTCCTGGCTGTTGACAAACGTTCCCCAAACACTTTAATTACATTTGTAACGGTTGATTTGGCAACTTTTAGCGATTTTGCCAACTTTGCGTGCGAGTAGCTCGGATTTTCGCGATGCGCGAGCAAAATTTTGATACGCTGCTCTTCTTGCTTGGACGGCATTTTGACAACTGAAGAGTGAATTCCAAAATCAAAATAGAAGCAACATTCTACACACACACACCTTCAAAATGAGGGGTGTTCAGGTTTTTTAAATGCAAAATTGAAAGAAATACGTCAAGTTGATATTGACCAAATTTTGACCGTATCACCCTTTACGCCAAAGTAACCCATATATTATTCAAGAGCGACAACATTTCACAAACAACCTCTTTTTACTTTTTTCAGGTCCTGACGGCCAACCACATGGAACCGGTGAAGGGTTTCCTCGGCCGGTACCTTCGCCGGAAGTTGTTCAACATGGAGCTGCACTCCCAAACGCTCCAACCCCAGCTGGAGAAGGTCCTGAAGTGGCTGCCATCCGTTTGGCAGCACATCAACAGTTTCCTCGAAACGCACAATAGCAGCGACGTCACCATCGGACCCCGTCTGTTCCTGTCCTGTCCGATGAACTTGCAGGATTCGCAAAGTTGGTTCACCGACGTGTGGAACTACCATCTGGCTCCATATCTAATGGAAGCCGTTCGAGAAGGAGTGCAGCTATACGGACGCCGTGGGGGAAGCTGGGTGGATCCTTGCACCTTCGTCCGGGAAACGTACCCATGGCCCATTGGACCGACAACGGTGCCACAGCTAAGGCAAATCACTGCCGACGATGTGGGCTTGGAGGCGAGTGCTCCAGCCAATTCCGAAAACCAGGATCCTCTGCTGAACATGCTTATGCGGCTGCAGGAAGCGGCCAACTACAATGGCAACCAGGAGCCGGACTCCGACTGTGCCAGCCTGGATTCGAACATGACCCACGACAGCTCGGCTGGCGCAGATTAAAGGGAATAAGTTTTTTCAGGATCGAAATTGCGAGATAATTTGGCACTCCAATGGGAACAACGTACAGGTGATGATTAAAAACGGAGGAGGCGTGTGTGTTTTTAATTATATACAAAAGCCTTCTCATTTGTATTGGTAATTAAAAGGCAAAGCAAAAATCATTACGTTTCAAATGAAGCGAGAGAAAATTGAGCCATTTTGATCTTTTATTTTATTCGAAATGATTAATTAGCCTGCAATAGCAAGCAATCATATAAATTATTAAAGTTTTACAAACTCATCACCACTGTGTAAGTGTGCTCTCGAACAATGGATGATGCAAAACTGGAACAATGAAGCAGAATGAACCGTGGATGCGAATAATTAATTAAAATGTGAAGAAGTAGACATCAAAAATAATAATTAAATTTATCGGGATTCATCGGTTATTGACAAGTGGTGTGAGGTTAAAAGTAATTGAACATAAATATGTTGTGAGTACTGCCTCCGGTAGATGTATTTGCAACATGGGTTTAAATTAAAATGAATGAGCTTGAGCTCAATCGGAGTAAATTTTGCATTTGTATTTCTTGATTGGACTAATTAAAAAATGTATCACCAAACTTGATGAATTTTTGAAACAAATACACACGTCGACTCACCCATTCGTTTCCTATGAATAAAGTTATCATTCATGCTTAGATGTTTTTTTTTTATCGATGAAAAAGCAGTAAAAAAAACAAGAATGGAAACTGGAAACAATAATTAATGTGTAGAACTGTGACGCACCCAAAAGTGTAACCCAACCCCTTCTGCAGCTGTTTTGTAGGATGTCCGAAATTGACTGACGATGTAGAACATGAATGTAAAATAATGCTTAACACACTTGTTAGACTGTAAATATACACTCACAAGCGACGGGATTCACGGCAGAAATCTTTACACTAAGGGAACTGTTTAGCTAGATAACGGAATAAATTATATTTAAGGAGTAAGACCATACTCACCAAGTTAGGCAATGTAACACTCTCTAACATACACACACACAAATACACCTAAGTACGCGTATCTCAGTGTAGATTTTTGTACCGCATTGTAGAATTGCTTCAAAAGCTTTAATATTCGACTTATATTTAACGCCAATTCGGATACTCTCACTCACAACCATTCACTAATACAATAACTTATTCTATATACAAGAATAAATTAAGTCAGAGTTGAAACATTTCCATTTAACTGCAAAAATAAGCATTAACCTCTATGTGTTTAACATACGTATCAACCGACAGCTAATCAGAGCATGCAATTCTGCCCCCCTTATTCGAAAAATTTCCAAAGAAACATCAACCAACTTTTGTTCTACTTAGCAAGTTAAAAAAAAAGAATCCATTGTCTCATTGACCAGCACTCCAAAATCAAAACACAACCGACATGCATTCATCATCTATCGCGCATGACAACAAATCTAAAATTATTGGCGCAATTGCCTTGCCTGCTCGAGAAATTGAATTCGTCACGACCGGCGGCGGTGGAAATTAAGGTCAACCGGTCAGCCGGGAATGGTTTTGCGAAATCTTATGAAATGGAAGCAAGCTTCGCTCATGCGGCCGATAGTAAATTGTTTTAATTGAGCTGCGTGCAAGTGCGGCACAACTTTAAACCAAACAATTGAGGACAGCGCAGTAAATCAATAAACGAGAATAAGATTGAAGGGAAGCTGATTGAATCTAATCTGTAATATGCCAATTTATTATTACGAACTAACTATTGATAACTATTGAACATTATTATTAATATATTGGAGAAAAGTATTCGGATGCGGACTACAAAATTGGTAAAGAAGGCAAGAAGACAAAGTGCATGCAAAGAGAAGAACAACAATTATTGAAGGGGATAAACTTTATTGCTATATTATTATACAACAAACCAGAACATCAATCTATATTAGGGGAAAATGGACCCCATCTTTATTGAGTATCGACTTCAATAAAAAACCAACCAATGGAACGTGATTTAAATTATTTGAAACATGAAGGTGGTATGTTTTCAATCCGAAATGTCCCTTTTCGATGCAATTATCAACAATCAAACTAAGCGGCATTGGCATCATATTAAAGTGTGGAATTGTTACATCCTCTGGAATGTAATAGTGATGCTAAAAAAGATTGTGGCAAGCACAGTAGGCATTGGTTGTCCGGATAAGTGCATTTGTTTACATCATGACTTCGCCGAAGCAAGCACGTTGCGATTCAATCCTGCACACTCGAAACGAAGATCCCGGTCTATCCGCTCCTGGCCGTTTTTTATCAAATCTCTGGCCAGAAATTTTATACCTTGGTCGACCGGAAGAGTGCCCCGGAAGTATGTTAAATCAAAAAGAAGTCGAAATTCCTCAAACGTTTCTTGTCTGGCAAGCAATCTGCAGTTGTGGGCTGAAAAGTGAAACTTTCGCTACTTCTGGGACCAAGAACCAGGGCGAGTGCCTACGGAAGAGACTGTTACCTTTTCTGGAGCAACATGAAGTGGATATTCTGGCCGGACTTGGCAAAGCGGCCACTACTCAAATTCTACCAAACAGTGGTACAGCAAAAATGGCGTCACAGGGGTTCCCAGGGAGATGAATCCGATCAAAACTCTGGAAATAAGGCCAATTGAGGAATTGTGAAGCACATACTGAAGAAAAAGGGTGGAACTGCATTTGGGTTGTTTAACGATACAACGTTTGAAAAATTCAAGTAAATTTCTGCGAGATATAGCGCACATAAAATTAACGCTAGATTTTGCATAAACTTAAACGATATTTCATGTAAATTTAAGCGTAATTTCATTTAAATTAGCAATATTGTTTGCAAGCTTGTAAACGATTTCGTTGTTTATGCCAACTGTAGCTCAAAATTAAACGAGGGGAGATTTTACGCTATACACACCAAAAAATTCTGAATTTTACTGGCGATGTAAACATCCATGCATGCAAACATTCATACATGTAAACTTCCTTTTCACGTAAACTAGCAGCTTGCAAGAAATGTTGCAAACAAAAGTGGACAGTTGCATACAATATATGGAATATTGCGTGACATGTCTCATAAATTTACACGATCTATAATCTAAACTTGTATGATATATGACGCTCCATTTATGTGCATCATAGTAACGGAAATTTACACTACTTTTTTTAGCTGTGTCGATAAAATTCAGATTTTTTTCCTTGTTTTGAGATAAATACATATTCGTTATCTGCATTAAAAATGGAATCGAAATCAAAAATTTCATCAATTTTAGTACACTGTAACTATTTTAAATAAGTACGATTATATTAGCAAAAATCACCATCTTAGCTCCTCTCGGTGGGACTTTGTATGGGAGCGAGCTGTCAACGAATAGATTTAGTGTCAACGATCAAAAATTTAAATCTTGATTTAAAAATCGAGATGAATGTCTATGGGATTGATAAAAATATCTTTGTGCTCAGAAAACGAAGCTCTATCAGATGATATATTGAAATTAGTATGTTTTTCGAAGTTAAACAAACCGATTGTGATTTTTTTTATAGGGGAAATGGCTCTAATGTTGTCTTAAGGATATAAGATTGAGACCATCGCTAAAAATCTGCTATTTATCCATTTTATCTAGATGAACGCGTCATTGGGACGGTAATAATGGTTATTTTTGGTCGCTATTGAAAATTTAGTCAACTGATGAATTTATGTATTGGTCCAAATTCGGAGCATTTAGGCCGAAATTACATCCATTTCCCCTATCTGTATTTAGTTGAAATTCAAACATTTTTTTACATTCTACCTTATTCATTTACTCAATTTAATAATATCTTAGTAATTCTTTCCACGGGAAGAAAAAATAACTCTTCAAATGGTACACAGCTAAAAAAAAGTAGTGTAAATTTCCGTTACTATGATGCACATAAATGGAGCGTCATATATCATACAAGTTTAGATTATAGATCGTGTAAATTTATGAGACATGTCATGTAATATCCCATATATTGTATGCAACTGTCCACTTTTGTTTGCAACATTTCTTGCAAGTTGCTAGTTTACGCGAAAAGGAAGTTTACATGTATGAATGTTTGCATGCATGGATGTTTACATCGCCAGTAAAATTCAGATTTTTTTGGTGTGTAGTAATGAAATTATGCAAAGTTGCTTAATTAGGCAAAGTTTTCACGCCCACAATCTGAATGAGTTCTACCAACCCCATAGGTGTAGATATGACAACTTTTTTATTAGAACAGCTTTGGTTTCTATAAAGGTGCCCATCTTAGTGGGCGTTGGCCAAGTTTGGATTTTTTCAGATATAATCCTAAATAGGACCTAGATTATTTAATACTCTAGTTACCTGAAGTCCGTGCTCTGTCACAATATTACATTGTAATTAATCAACATTCAATGGGTAAAATACATTAATTTGGGTTGAATTTGAAGGAAATGGAACTTGTAGTATAAAGCGCACTGCGCACTGGACGATTCTGAGGCCTGGCCAAGTAAGTGGGGTTTGAATTTATTTGAAAAAAATATATGGCCAATATAGCGCATATTTAAAGAATTGCATAATTCTAATTATTTGATTACTGTGTAGAAAATATGTTTGGAAATTTGCATGTACATTTTATTCAGCCAGTTATATATTTAAACATTCAAACCATTGCTATTCAGTATTTGAGACAAGACAGATCTTAGGGGAAGCGTATCCCAATGTTATAGTTTCCCTTTATTAAATAGTTCAGATAGGCTAGAAATGACAGGTTCATAGTGAGAGAACCATATGGTGCCCGTTCATTGATCACCTTTTAGATCAAAATCACATCGTTAGTAAATCTATTTTTCATAAATATATTCTGCATACTTTTGCTCTAGTGAAAAGATAATTATCATCGTGAAAAAAAAAACATCCTAACCAATGCTGTTAGAATTGAATTCGCACAGATACATACAAACAATCAACTGGTTGATTGCTTAGGAAAACAAAATCTAAAGCTTGAAATTGCGTTACAAAAAAATGGTTCGTATTGAAATAATGCATTTTACAGGTATGTTGTCTTCGGAGAAAATTTTACTAACAAATATTTTGAATCGATCTACGGGAGTGAAATATGACCTTTCACACGAAATACTTGTGTAATTGATGAGCAAAGTTAGCGACCACTATGATTATGGTCCTAAAATTGAACTTAGAAAATGGTTTTCAGAAAATTTAATCAATAATCTTGTAAAAATTTCTAGAGATAGTAATTTTAGTTCTTTAGTTTTAAACGCAAGAGTTTTTTTTTTCGATTGAGCGCTGCGTTATTTTGTAAAAAAAAAAATCGATGAAGTGAGTCATTCTAAACCGATTCACTTTCACCTTAATTCAATGTTTTTAAATTATTTTACCTTTGCAGAGTTGCTATTTCAACAATTTCATTGATACTTAGAAATAGTTATAAATCTTGTATGCTCAAATAACCTCGATTATTTAGCAATTTGATTCTTTACTTAAATTGTGGATGCATTAAATAGGCAAAGTTGAGTTCAATCATACCATGCAATTAAAATATGCATATACATAGCCGTTCGCTAATTGGGGCACGACTGCACCCCAATTATCGAATGGCATTCGCTAATTGGGGGGTGTCGACAAGTGTCAAAGTTGACCGGGGGGCGCTTGACTCGTTTGTTTTGGTTTCCAGTCTTTCGTCTGCTTAACTGATGCTGTGAGCAGCTACTTAGTTTTTGTCTTGCGTGAGTGTAAATTGAGTGAATCGATTGAATATTTTGTTGAGTTATTTCCGGCGCTGGTAAATATTTGTGCATTCATACGTTGTTTGTAATGTTGTAGCAATTATCCTCCTGAAATTTGTTCAGCTTTCACAATGGAAGGAGTATCAGCTTCCAGTTCCGGAGTGGATAATAAGCAAGTCGTGAAACGGAAGCACACTACGCTTACCTTGGCTCAGAAGGTGAGAATAATCGAGGAATTTGAAGCAGGAAACGGTTCCCACGAAATATTAGGCAAAAGGTTTGGTGTCGGAGCATCCTCGGTCGGTCGATTTTTGAAAAATAAGGAGTCAATTCGGATGAAACTAGAAAAATTCAGAGAACATGGCGTGGAAAATCGAAAAACGATGAAGGAGCAGAATTTTCCCTTACTGGAGGAAGCGCTTTACCTATGGGTTTTGCAACAACGTGAGGCTAATATTATTGTCACATTGGATGTGATCAAGGCCAAAGCAGAACAACTGTTCCAATGCTTTCAAGATCTTGGTGTTTATCTGGATCTTACTTTTTTGATTTCGGATGGCTGGGTGCGCCGTTTTAAACAGCGTTTCGGATTACGTGTTTTGGTGGTGGCAGGAGAGAAAGCTTCCGCGGATAAAGAAGCGTACCTTAAATTCAAGGAATTGCTCATGAAGAAAGTATTGGAAATGAATGTGACAAAAGCCCAAATTTTTAATGCAGATGAATCAGCACTTTTCACCAAGCACTATCGCATTATGGGACGAGACAGTCGCTTCGGGACGAAAGCTCAACAAAACCCGATTCACATTCATGCCGTGCTCGAACATGGATGGTTCTCTCAAAATGAAACTGATGTTCATTGGGGTAGCCGAGAACCCCCGTGGATTTCCTCGCGGCTTTCAGCAATCATTACCGGTATCCTACTACAATTCCAAAAAAGCTTGGATGACACGTCAGTTGTTCCGTACCTGGTTTTATGACGAGTTCATTCCCGCTGTCCGGAAGTTCTCTGCTGAGCACGATTTGGAACCGTCAGCGCTTTTGGTTCTGGATAACTGTACTGCTCACTACGATGGATGCGATGATTTGAAGATTGATGATGGATTAATTCAAGTGATGTACCTTCCACCAAATGTGACAGCAGAATGCCAGCCGATGGATCAGTCGGTGATCAACGCAATCAAAACCAGGTACAAACGGAAGCTGATGCTTAAGCTTGTTTTGGAAAACGAAGATTTGCCCTTGGAACAACGGCTGAAAAATGTGTCCTTACGGCAGAGTATTGATTGGATTGCTGAAGCTTGGGACGAAATCAGTCAGGTTACCATTGAAAATTCCTGGAAAAAGTTGTTCGATGAGTTTCCAGGTTGTGAATGGAGCATGTCTGAACAGGCGGAGGATTTTTTTGCTGATTTCAAGTCCCTTGTAGCATCAATTGATGGCATAGCCGGAACAAACACAACCGACGAACAAATCCAGCTTTGGCTTGAGGATCGAGTAGTAGATTCCAATGGTACAACAGTTTCAATAACCAGCGAAGTGTTCAGAGACGAAGAAATAGTCAGCGCAGTTTTGAATAAAGCAGACGATTTAACTTTCACGGAGGAAGAATGGTTGGATACCACCCCGGAGGCTTTGAACGGAAGTGCCCTTGCTACTGAAAACGAAGAACCCGAAGACATCGATTTTCCAACCGCGATGAAGTCGCTTGATAACGTGATCCAATTCGTACAGAACAATCCCGCTCAGACTTTGAAACTGAAAACCCTGCGAACTGAATTGCTGGAAGCAGAGTGGAAGAGACGCAATCTGTAACTGTTTTGTTTTAATTTGCTTGTTTTATGAATTAAATTGATTTTTTACAAAAAATATTTTGTTTTTCGTTATTTTTTTATCAATCATTGAAAGACCCCCCAAAAAATATGACAGCAAAACGTCAGCATGATTTTGACATCAGATTTTGACATCAGATTTTGACGGATGACTCGCGCCCCAATTAGCGAACCCCCAATTAAAAAGCGCCCCAACCAGAAAACCCCCAATTTGCGAACTTCCACTGTATAGCTTGAGTTTAAAGAAATTGATTGACTAAAACCGAGGTTGTTTGTATTTTGTTATATTTTATTAATTATATATCGACGAGATGGATCCGGAATTTTGACGTCTGTGTTTGAAGGAGATACCTGCGATGTGTCGAAGAAAGTCTACGAGGAGGCCTGTTGCTGTTGGTGCAGCTCCACTTGGTTATTTGGATGAGATCATTCCTGTTGCGAGAGGCAACAGGCGGACAGGGGATTTCTTCCGTAAATTTATTACCAGAATCCAGAATATAGGAATTCGTAGAGATATTATAATTTTCATGTAGAAAGGTTACATAAAGCCCGATTCAAAGTAAATTTGGACGCATTTAAGTGATCATACACGGTTGATCAAAACGTCAAACAAAAGGGTATTTATTCAGCTTTCAAACGATACATAACAAGTTATTACATTTCACCGTTTCGAACGAACTGTCGCACTTTACTTGTGATCGATGCCATCATGATCTGCACAGTCGCTGGTGACACTGTACACACCAAATTTAAATCGCTGGAATTCAGCAAAATTTTGCTGATTTTGGACTTGATGAAAGATCAGCAAACATTCCAGCAAAATAATGCTGCTGAAACTTCCAGCAATTCGATGTTCTGTCAAAATGACAAAATTTTACTGAATCTTCAGTGAACATTTTATTTTTTGCTGAAGCCGCAGCAGAAGACGAATTGACAGCGATTAACTGATTTTCCAGTAAATTTCTGGAAAATATTACTGAAACAACAGCAAATTATTTTTATTCTGTTTTTACTGATAGCACGTTTTAGTTGTATGTTACTAATTGTTTTATTTCTTATCTTCAATATATAACACTATAAAATTCTTCAATAAAAACAATTAAAGCACTATACACTTAAAGACACATGTCATTAGTAGCCACCGTTGATTGGAACGACCCTCTCGGTAGAGACCTTGCAATTTGGGGCAGCTATTGCAGCAGTTATTGACGTCATGAGCTCGTCAAGCATAAGCTCGTAGCTTTCAAAGCCCTTCGAGCTGCTTCTGCGTTCGCGGAGAAAATGGGAAAATGTCTTCCGATGAACTGAGCGCGATAGACCCACCGAGCAATAACGCCATTTGGTGAGATTGGGCAACTTCAAGAATTGCTTGAAACTGCAATAATAATGAAGAATAATGAAACGGTTTTGCAAATTTTAAAAGAAAACTATTTACCTTTGGATTTGTTTTGAGGTTGAATATTTTCGGAATCGTGCCATTGAAAAAAGTGTCAATGACAATGATAAAATGTGTTGTCAGGTAGCGTAGCGGTATTTGCGCGACCTGTCATTTAAGTAGACAAGAAGAACAGCTTACTGATTATCAGCAAAAAAAATTGACGTTTGTCTATTTTACTGGATTTCAGCAATGCTAAAAATGCTAATACTGAACTCCAGCAAAGAATTGTTTTGCTGAACCCAATTCAGCAAACTATTTTGCTGAAACTCAAAATCGAAATTTGGTGTGTACCGGCGAACTTATTCCACTTAAAACGCATTTGTTGTGCATTTGCCACTTCTTTACCGCATCCTCGAAGTTTTCGCTTGACAATTGCACAATATTTTTCGATCGGTCTGAACTCAGGGAAATTCGGAGAAATTAACATTGTTTGCAGTTTACCATTCTAGTACCTCCTTAGAGTAGTGACAGCTGGCTAGATCCGGCCAAAACATAACGTTGGTCGTGTGTTGCTGAATGAAGGGTAAAATCCACTTTTTCAGACACTCTTTAATGTAAACCTTCGACGTCATTGTGTGAGATATGATGAAAACCTTAGTTTTAAGGCCACAACTGCAGATTCCTTGCCAAATCATTAGTTTCCGAGCAAACTTATCAGCAAAAACAACGACATCCCCACGACCAGTTGCCAGGTAAAATGTTCGTCCGGGGATTTGTTTATAATCCATTTTGACATATGTTTCGACATCCATTAAAATATAGTCAAATTTCGTCAAAACTCGTTCGCATAATCGTGCTCGCTTTTTGGCCACTAAATTTTGTTTCAGGGAGCGATTCGGATGTTTACTGGCACAAAAAGACTTATATCCTTCTCTTGAAAGGATGTTACGCGCGGAGGAAAAGTTGGAATCGTATTTCTTTGCCAAATCACGTATGGCGACACCTGGGTTGCTTTTCACGTACCTCAACACCTTTCTCCTCAGCTCTTTGACCCTAGTGCCACATTTAAGATAGATGCGCTGTGCTCTAACCACACTCAGAGTATCCTTCGTAACGTCTTGTAGACTCACCGTTGACTTTGGGAATTTTAACACTTTTGCTATTTTTGAGGCAGGGTTCTCTAGATAATTGTGCACAATTAATTTTCTTTTCTCAAGTTCCATGATCCGTAATTTCGGGATGCGTCGATCAATCGAGAAAAACTTTTCACCAATTTCTTCGTCAATGAAACATCAACAAATGCCTGTCAAACGTTTTTTGTTCCAACCACCAGGGGCGCGGTGGTGTATTAAACCGTGCGTCCAGATTTACTTTAAATCGAGCTTTAGGTTATGTTATAATGTGTTTTGTATATATCTATAAGTGTGTTCTATAATAATTTTATTTGCGTGTATGCGATCGTTATCGGTGTAAGCTCTAGCTGTAAATTTGGTTTGTAATAAGTGTTTCATTTTACTCACGTTTAGTCCCCTTTCTGTAGTTGTTTGATTTTAACTGTTTTTGAGAGTAGGATGCGACAAGCTGTAATGTTTGTATAGTTGAGATTTAGAAGAAATTCTTTATAATTTAATTTTATTTATTTTCTTACCGCGATTCCAACTTTGTAGGGTATTTTAGGTTAGATAGTAGCTCTATTAAGCAGTAGTACCCTTAAAGTTATTAGTTCAGGTTTAGGATAGTTATAGGTTCAATTTAATTTAATTATACTCACAAGATTAGTAATGTAAGTATAAACTATTATTTAATATTAATCCCTTTTATGGAAAACTGTAAATAATTTAGTATTTAGCACAAACAAACTTGCAATTGCTCATTACAGCTAAAATGCTAGTTTTCCAAATTATGAAACTTTACATGAACGTTTAATGATAAAGTTTCAACCTTATGTATTATGGTTTTTTGGAACTGGACCTTACAAATAATGGGTTGTTAAGAACCATTACCATTCCAAATTCTTGTTTTCTCCATACATTTTCAGAAAGAGAACTTTATAAGAACGTTTTTACTTATGATTTGAGAACATTAATGGTAATGGTTATGGTAGTCAGTAAGGTCCATTAATGGTTTTGTATTATCGCTCAACTTTACGTGGAATATATCGTGAATTGGTAATCAGTAAATTACAGGCAACCAATTCGCGATATATTCCACATAAAGTTGATCGATGTGACAAAACCATTCGTGGACCTTACTGACTACCATAACCATTACCATTAAAGTTCTCAAACCATAAGTTAAAAGGTTCTAATATAGTTCTCTTTCTGAAAATGTATGGAGAAAACAACAATTTGGAACGGTAATGGTTCTTAACAACCCATTATTTGTAAGGTCCAGTTCCAAAAAACCATAATACATAAGGTTGAAACTTTATCATTAAACGTTCATGTAAAGTTCCATAACCATTTCAGTTAAAGTTTAGCAGGGATCATAAATAATTTTTAACCATTTTAGGTAAGGTCAATTTATGGTTCGCGTTTATGCGGGGATTTGTGCGTTTGTCCTCGATGAAGTGACGACTGTTGGAGATCAAATTTTCACTGTTGTTTCAGTTGAAATTGACGGCTATTGAAGTGAAACGATTGTATACCATGTAATTTATTTTCAGAGGTTGGCTGTGTGCCTTGAGAAAAGTTTGGGTCATTTACCTAGAAGAAGCATGGGCTGTGTGCCGTAAGAGAGGATTGGTTGTGTACCTAGATGAGAAAAGGGCTGTGTGCCTTAAGGAAGAATAGGTTGTGTACCTATACGAAACATAGGCTGTGTGTTTTGTGAGAAAGATTGGATATGCTCCTGTTGTGTTAAATAAAAACACAAAACATGCATTGCGTTTTAAAATAAAACAGAAAAGCTGACATATTTTACAGCTTATATATTTTATTACATTTAAACTTAACAAACAAATAAGTAACAACTCAAGGCGGAAGTAGCCGTCAACAATGCTGATGATGGTACAGTACGCAACAAACACCCTACTGCTTTCTCTCTGAGATGATCACGTTGGTCATGACGAGAGGAGCAACACAATAGTTGGGTAAAGAAGAACTGCATTATAACACACCATCGACTGGAAATGCTCTCGCAACGTGGGGCTTTAGGTAGTGATGAAAACGTCGCTAGAACTATTCCACAGCCGCAGTCAGTTTATGAGCAAAAGAAGGACGCACATTTTTTGCCTGTAGACTTGGAGACATACTTCAAGCCTCCGTGTACATCGTACGGGCTAGGCAAAAATGTGCGTCTATCTTGAAAACTGTCGCATTAATGGCCCTTCGCTCATTTTCAACTTCTATTCAATTTTCATACTGCCGTACTCTAATGGAACTATCCACCTACTCTCTTCTAAAGATCATTCTCTAGCTAATAAATTATCACACTAAAGCTTCATGTTGGCATTTCCAACCAACTCTGAAAATCGCTAACTTCACGTATGAAGTAACATAAAAAACACTTTGAAAGTAAACTACGGAAAACATTGGGAAAACACAATAAAAAAATGAATGCTACGCGTGGTAGTTTTGCTTGTTAACCAAACATTGTGATTCACAGGATGTCTGCACATAGTCGTATCAAACCGT